TCAATGGCGCTTCCATCCCACCAGATGCCAAAAACCTCCAAGCTATTTTTTCCTTTTCGTTACTCTCTCCTCACTGCCAACCATCAGCAAAATCCGACATTTCCAGGATTTGATCACTTGCTGGTCCCTCCACTGCCACCACCGTGGATGGCGCCTGACCTCAGTTGGGTGAAGGATGGGAGTTGGCTGGTTGCCTGCACCTTGAGTCTGTTCTTGGCAACCCCCAGTACACAGAGGCCACCTCATGGTCCTTAAGATTACCACCACCCTTGACGCCACCCTGATGCCACCCAGCCCGGCCTCAGAGGGCACTCTGCTGGCCTCGGATGAGCCCCTCAGGCCTGGACCTTCCCCACCTCCATGCATCACCCAGTACAGGGGGGACTGTCCATGCACCAGGCTCCCTCAGCCCTACGGATGACACTCAAGGGTTTCCTCCCAAACCTATTCTTTCTTCTGCACCAAAGGCCTGCAGTGAAGCAACTTTCTGATAGTCGTAGTCGCATAAAACCGACTTAGTCCTAGAATTTTCCACTCTGGTTTTTTGGCAAAAGCCAAAATGTCTGTCCACCTGTTTCCAAAGTACGGTTCGACTTCTTTCCTATTTCATTTCTCTCCCCGTCAGCTGCTAAGCAGTGATATGGGAAATCTGATTTTCTTTTTTCAGTCTACTTTCCTCATCACCTACGAACTAACTCTGAGGCCGGGCGTCGTGGCTCACACCTATAATCCCGGCACTTTGGGAAGCCAAGGCGGGAGGATCACCTGAGGTCAGGAGTTTGAGAGCAGCCTGACAAACACGGAGAAACTCCATCTCTACTAAAAATACAAAATTAGCCAGGCGTGGTGCTGCAAGCCTGTAATCCCAGCTACAGGAGACTGAGGCAGGAGAATCACTTGAACCGGGAAGTGGAGGTGTGGGTGAGCCGGATCACCAATGCACTCCAGCCTGAGCAACAAGAGCAAAACTCATCACAGAAAAAAGAAAAAAAAAAAGAGAAGAGAAAGATAAAGAAAAGAAAAAGAGAAAAGAAAGAAAGAGAGAGAGAGAAATAAAACTAACTCTCATAGCTGTAGAGACTGGGAGGGCCAAACTTCACACATCTGTGAGCTGCTATAGGCCCACAGGCCTCAGCTTTTATCTGCCTCTTCACCAGAAAAAGATCTCAGTGGCCAGAAACCAGGCAGTGTGGGGGGCTTAACACTGCTCACCGGAGGTAGGTGGTAGCTGGAGTGTAGATCTCGATCTTGCCTTCCCTGGTGGGGACCTGAACTGCTGCAGGCCACACTGACCACCAGGTCCTTTAGGGTCCAGGCCTTGCCCAGCGTCAGCTCCAGGACAGCTTGGAACACACTCTGTGGCCAGTACAACCTGTGAGCTACAGAGACCATCAGCCATGGACTGTCCAGGTTCAAGGCTCCTGCAAGAGACAGAGAAAGGAGAGTCTGGTATGCGGGCAGAGAGGAAGCTTCTAGCAGGCAGCAAGAGGTCCCCAGAGTCTCATCACAGCAGCGACGGGAAAATCTCAAAACTGGAAATGACTAGGCATGAGGAAACTTTCTAGGACATTGCATGTGTGACTTATGACAGCGGTTATGGATCACACAGGTGAATCCATCTGTCGAAACTCATCCAATCATACTGTGGAGATACACGCATTTCACTCTGCTTAATGAAACACATGCTGAAACATTAAGTGAAATATATCAATGACTACAACTTACTTGAACTGCATGGAAAAAAGTAAGGCTGGATAGGTGGAGAGAGGGGCGATGAGTCAAGTGGGGTAAACTGTTAATAGCAGAACCGAGTATGAGAGGATGCTGGTGATCACTGTCCATCTATCAGCTCTTCCGAAGGTTTGCAGTATTTTCTAATAAAACACTGGAAGGCTGAAAGCAGTGGCTTGTGCCTGCAATCCCAGCATTTGGGAGGCAAGGCAGGAGGATCACTTGAGTCTGGGAGTTTGAGACCAGCTGGGACAACAAAATGAGACCCTATATCAAAAAAAAAAAAAAAAATACAACAATTAGCCAGGGATGGTGTGCTGGCCTATATTCCCAGCTACCTGGGAGGCTGAGATGGAGGCTGCAGTGGCCGTGAGGGTTGCCACGCATTCCAGCTTGGGCAAGAGAAGGAGACCCTGTCTCTAAATAAAAAGAAAGAAAGAAAGGAAACAACAGGTAGAAATGCTGAGGCCTGTGAAGAAAAATAATAAAGAAGGAAATTGATAAAAATGGCGGAGGTTCAGCAAACACTTCTAAGAGGAAGTGACAATTACCTGATACCTAAATGAAAGACAAAGGAAGCTGATCAAAGGGGCAGGCCACCCACCCCGTTCAGATGCAGGGACAATGACACAGTGAGGGGAGGCAAGTGGCACTGAGTTGAGAACAGGGAGACGCTCAAGAGTGGGCACCCTGGTCCCTGCCCAGTTGCCCCCGTACCACAGGAAATGGGAAGACGGCTCCACAGAAGAACAGAAGGCAGGCATGGATCCCTGGAGAGCCAGGTCCCCACCCAATTCCTTGACTGACAGGGAAGCCCACCAGGCAGAACATGCCCCCACTTACACGTAGCGCCTCTTTCCAAACACGTTTAGAGTCTCCAGTTAGTTTTCTATTTCATTCATGTTTCCTGCATGGTGATGATGATCTCATTTCACTTTACAGATCACAGTTGAGACCTGGCAAACTCAGGCCCTCCAGAACATCTACTGGTTGCTCTGTTTTTTGTTTTGTTTTTGCTTCTGAGGTCATGGTCATTCATTTATGTCTCATTACACTGGGCTGGGCCAAGAGTCACCCACTAGTAGTATAGCTTATGTTATTCTGTTGCTTTCAGACAGAATTGGGATCCAGGTTGTAACTGTCTCCCAAGTTCAACATCTGGATCAGAATCAGAAAAGAATGGCCACTGCTGTGGGAGGCTGGGGGGCTTTGAGTTTTCTGCCAGAGTCAACCTGATTCTGAACACCAAGGTGCAGCTCCACTAAACCAGACACATTCTCACTGTTAGTCTCCCGGCAACATAAACAGTAGGGGAGATAGGGCCCCTGACAGAACCAAGTGAAATTTCCCAGAGCTCTAGGCATTCATTCACCCTGATCCAGAGACGTCACACACCCAGGGAAAGAATCATCATTCCTAGAGATAATGGACTAAGGGCAGTAGAGCACTGAGGAAGTGCTGGGGGCATAATTCCTTGTGCACACCAGGCCTCTGAGCTCTCCCGCGGCAGCTCTATGGGGCCCTCATGCAGCCTCCATGCTCCTGCTCACACTGCTTGCCCAGCCAGGAGCCTTCCAGCTCCACCTGAGTTACACAGACCCCCAAGGGAAAACCAACCAGCTCCAGTCTTCTCTTTCACAGCCTCCTGCTTGTTCTCAGGAGATTCGGTCTCTTTCTTTTGCACCCCGGGTCCCTTCACTTGTGCTTCCATTGTGGGTGGGTGGTCACAAGCTCTGTGCCCTTTAGTGTGGATCTCTCTGCTGGAGGAGACAGGACGCCCTGCAAGTCAGGGACGGGTCTCATCCCTCACAGAGTCGGCCATGTGGCCCAGGTTTGATGCACACCTGCAGAACTGCTATTTCTGGCTTCTATACACAATCTCTGGCTGGGCTGGTGGCTTAAGCCTGTAATCTCAGCACTTTGGAAGGCCTCAGTTGGCAGATGGCATGAGTCCAGAAGTTTGAGACCAGCCTGGGAAACATGGTGAAACACAGTCTCTACACAAAGTTTTAAAAACAGAGAGGAGAGGAGAGAGAGAGAGAGAGAGAGACAGAGAGAGAGAGAGAGAGAGAGAGAGAGACAGAGAGAGAGAGAGAGAGAGAGAGAGAGAGAGAGAGAGAGAGAGAGAGAGAGAGAGAAGGCATGGTGGCTCACACCTGTAATCCCAGCACTTTCTGAGGCCGACATGGGTGGATCACCTGAGGTCAGGAATTCAACACCAGCCTGGCCAATATGATGAGACCCTGTCTCTACTAAAATACAAAATTAGCCAGGTGTGATGGTATGCACCTGTAGTCTCAGCTACTCAGGAGGCTGAGGCAGAAGAATCACTTGAAGCCGGGAGGCAGAGACTGCAGTGAGCTGAGATCTGAGATCTCACCACTGCACTCCAGCCTGGTGGCAAAGCGAGACTCCATCTCCATAAAAAGAAAAAAAAAAAAAGGAAGGCTGGGCACCGTGGCTACTGTGTGTAATCCCAGCACTTTCAAAGGGCAAGGCGAGCAGATCAAGAGATCAGTAAATCAAGACTGTCCTGGCCAACATAGTGAAACACTGTCACTGCTACAAATACAAAAAATTAGTTGGGCATGGGGACATGCACCTGTGGCCCCAGCTACTTGGGAGGCAGAGGTGGGAGAACTGCTTGAACCTAAGAGGCAGAGGTTGCAGTCAGCCAAGATGGTGCCACTGCACTGCAGCCTGGCAACAGAGTGAGACTCCATCTCAAAATTTAAAAAATAAAAAGAAGCCAAATTTGGTGGTGCGTGACTGTAGTCCCAGCTGCTGCTCTGAAGGCTAAGGTGGGAGGATCACCTGAACCCTGGAGACGGAGGCTGCACTGAGCCAGGATTGCACCACTGCACTCCAGCCTGGGTGACACAGTGAGACTGTCCCCACAAAAACACAAAATGTGTCTTTATCTACAAGAGATACCTGCTGCCAAACTCATGATGAGGAAATACTACAACCGACTGTGTACTCTCAGAAACTTGAGAAAAGTGACCAGGATCTCAGCCAGTGTCACCTTGTACTGCAAAGCCCTGCAGGACCATCTGTGCCATTTCTTTCTATTCACTCAAAAAAGAAGAGATGAATTTTTTTACAAATTACTTTATACCGTTAAAATCATCACATCAAGTGGTGCATTTAGAGGTGTTGGTCGAGGTCTCAGAGGCCGCATGACTAGAGGAGGGGGTAAAGTCCAAGGGGACACTCAGGTGAAGGTTGAGTGTCGGTTGAGACAGCAGGTCAGCCAAGTGAAGGAGGTGGTCGAAGTACGAGAGAAAACCTAGGAAGGAGGTGGCTGAGGGCTGAGAGGTCATGAGGAGATTCTTTAGGTCCTAGAGGAGACTCATGTGAAGGTGATAGCTAAGGGAGGCCACCAAGGTAGAGAAGGTGGCCGAGGTGCCAGTAGCCACTAAATGGAACAGTAGGCTGAGGTCCCAGAGGCCACACTGCTGGAGGAAGAAGATGAAGTCCCCCAGGAAAGAGAGCTGGATGAGGTGGATAGGGCCCCCCAGGACAGAGAGATGGATGAGGTGGATGGGGTCCCCCAGGACAGACAGATGGATGAGGTGGATGGGGCTCTCCAGGACAGACAGGTGGATGAGGTGGATGGGGTCCCCCAGGACAGATAGATTGATGAGGTGGATGGGGCTCTCCAGGACAGACAGGTGGATGAGGTGAATGGGGTCCTCAAGGACAGACAGGTGGATAAGGTGGATGGGGTCCCCCAGGACAGATAGATTGATGAGGTGGATAAAGTCCTCCAGGACAGACACCTGGACGAGGTAGATGGGGTCTTCCAAAACAGACATCTGGATGAGGTGGATGGGGCTCTCCAGGACAGACAGGTGGATGAGGTGGATGGGGTCCCCCAGGACAGACATCTGGATGAGGTGGATGGGGTCCTCCAGGATAGACAGGTGGATGAGGTGGATGGGGTCCCACATGACAGACTAGATGGATGAGGTGGTTGAGGTACCTCAGGACAGACACCTGGATGAGGTAGATAAAGTCCCATAGGAGGTACAGCTGGAGGAGGTGCTAGAGGTCCCACAAAACAAATAGTTGGAAGACATAAAGGAAGTCTCAGAGGACACTCAATTGCTGGAGGTGTCTGTGGTTTCAGAAGATCACCAGCTGGAGAAGATGGTGGAGACACCAGAGAGCACATGACTGAAGGAGTGACTGTGGTCTCAGAGAATCTGCACTTGGAGAAGATGGTTGAGGTGGCACAGGACATTCGAGTGAAGTAGGTGGTTGAAGTCCCAGAGGACACGTGACTGAAATAGGAAGTTGAGGTTCCAGAAAATGCTCAAGTGGTGGAGCTGCCTATGGTCTGCCAGAAAGTCATTAGCTGTAGAAGATGGTAAAGGTAACAGATTCCACTCAGGTGGAGGAGTGTGTGGGCTCAGAAAGTCTTCAGCTTGAGATGGTGGCAGAGGTATCAGAGAACACTCAAGTGGTGGTGTGCGAGGCCTCAGAACATCTTCAGCTGGAGAGTGGTAGAGATACCAGAGGACACTCAGGTTGAGGTGTGCACGTGAAGATTTTCTTACGAAATCTTCAGCTGAAGATGGTGGGAGAGGAACTAGAGTACACTCAGGTGGAGGTGTCTGTGGTCTCAGAAGATCATCAAGAAGGTGAAGAGATACCAGAAGACACTCTATTGAAATAGGTAGCTGAGGTCCAAGGGGACACTCAAATGGTGGAGCTACTTGTAATCTCAAAAATTTTCAGTTGGAGAAAGTGGTTGAGGTCCCAGAAGACAATGGATGGAAGCTGTGTGTCGTCTCAGAAAATAATCAGCTGGAGATGACGGTAGAGGTATCGGAAGATACTCGAGTGGTGGCGTCTGTGGTTTTCAAAGATGATCATCTAAAAAAGGTGGTAGAGAAGCCAGAAGACACTTGAGTGGTGGTGTCTGTGGTCTCCAAAGATTATCAACCGGAGGAGGTGGTAGAGATGCCAAAACGCACTTGAGTGGTGGCGTCTGTAATTTTCAAAGATGATCATCTAGAGAAGGTGGTAGAGATGCCAGAAGACACTTGAGTGGTGGTGTCTGTGGTATCCAAAGATGATCATCGGGAGAAGGTGGCAGAGATGCCAGAAGACACTTGAGTGGTGATGTCTGTGGTATCCAAAGATGATCATCTGGAGAAGATGGCAGAGATGCCAGAAGACACTTGAGTGGTGGTGTCTGTGGTCTCCAAAGATGATCATCTGGAGAAGATGGCAGAGATGCCAGAAGACACTTGAGTGGTGGTGTCTGTGGTCTCCAAAGATTATCAACCGGAGGAGGTGGTAGAGATGCCAGAAGACACTTGAGTGGTGGCGTCTGTGGTCTCCAAAGATGATCATCTGGAGAAGGTGGTAGAGATGCCAGAAGACACTTGAATGGTGGTGTCTGTGGTCTCCGAAGATGATCATTTGGAGAAGGTGGTAGAGTTGCCAGAAGACACTTGAGTTGAGTGGTGGCGTCTGTGGTTTTCAAAGATGATCATCCGGGGAAGGTGGTATAGATGCTGGAAGGCACTCAAGTGGTGGTGTCTGTGTTCTTGAAGTATCATCATCTGGAGAGGTGGAACACGTGCCAGAAGACACTTGAGTGGTGGTGTCTGTGGTCTCCAAAGATTATCATCTGGAGAAGGTGGTATAGATGCCGGAAGGCACTCAAGTGGTGGTGTCTGTGTTCTTGAAGTATCATCTGGAGAGGTGGAACAGGTGCCAGAAGACACTTGAGTGGTGGTGTCTGTGGTCTCCAAAGATTATCATCTGGAGAAGGTGGTACAGGTGCCAGAAGACACTTGAGTGGTGGTGTCTGTGGTCTCCAAAGATTATCATCTGGAGAGGTGGAACAGGTGCCAGAAGACACTTGAGTGGTGCTGTCTGTGGTTTTCAAAGATCATCATCTGTAGACAGTGGCAGTGGTGTGCATAGACACTCGGGTGGAACTGTGTATAAGCCGAGAAAATCATTGGCTGAAGAAGGTGGTAAAGCAGCCAGAAGACATTTGGTTGTAGGTGTCTGCAGTCTCTAAAACTCATCATCGGACGAAGCTGGCAGAGGCGTGCATAGACACTCAGGTGGAATTGTGTATAAGCCGAGAAAATCATTGGCTGAAGAAGGTGGTAAAGAAGCTAGAAGACACTCAGGAGTAGGTGTCTGTGGTCTCGAGAACTCATCATCTGACGAAGCTGGCAGAGGCGTGCATAGACACTCAGGTGGAATTGTGTATAAGCCGAGGAAATCATTGGCTGAAGAAGGTGGTAAAGCTGCCAGAAGACATTCAGGTGTAGGTGTCTGTGGTCTCGAGAACTCATCATCTGACGAAGCTGGCAGAGGCGTGCATAGACACTCAGGTGGAATTGTGTATAAGCCGAGGAAATCATTGGCTGAAGAAGGTGGTAAAGCTGCCAGAAGACATTCAGGTGTAGGTGTCTGTGGTCTCGAGAACTCATCATCTGACGAAGCTGGCAGAGGCGTGCATAGACACTCAGGTGGAATTGTGTATAAGCCGAGGAAATCATTGGCTGAAGAAGGTGGTAAAGCTGCCAGAAGACATTCAGGTGTAGGTGTCTGTGGTCTCGAGAACTCATCATCTGACGAAGCTGGCAGAGGTGTGCATAGACACTCAGGTGGAATTGTGTATAAGCTCAGAAAATCATTGGCTGAAGAAGGTGGTAAACCAGCCAGAAGACATGCGGGTGTAGGTGTCTGTGGTCTCGAAAACTCACCATCTGACGAAGCTGGCAGAGGTCCTAGTGGACACTGGAGTTGAGGAGTTATCAGAGGTCCCAGAACACCTTTAGCTGATGGGAATGGTGGAGCTCCCAGATGACACCCAGATGGAGGAGGTGACGGGCAAGCCATCAGTGGTCCTGAAGGGTCAGCCATGAGGTAGGGTGAGCAGGGCAATGCTGAGCAGTGATGACGCTGTGCTGCAGCCATGTTAACCTGCTGGCAGAAGGAGGAAGTGTTTTCACATGTATTAATTTGACAGACAGAACCACCACCAACAACACAGGCTGCAACTTATGTTGCTGCTGATAGTTTTTTGCACCTTTCCATCCTCCAGGTTTCAAAACAGCAGCATCAGTGTCATGAAGTCACCCTTCCACTAAGTACCACTGACAGCTGGGAAGTGAAGAAGAGTCGTTGGGGCAAACTGTTTTCTCCGCATGCCACTGCATCTCTCTGCAAATGTAGGCAGGCTAGGGGCCTGCCCCAGGGAAGACAGAGTCATGGCGCAGTAAGGAAGAAGCATGTTTCAGACACAGGAGTGTCTCTGTCCATCCTCATTCCTCCCTCACCGCCATCACCAGAGCATGTTCTTGGCATCAGATAAATAGCGAGTAAGAGAGGCATGAAGGGCCAGGCGCGGTGGCTCAAGCCTGTAATCCCAGCACTTTGGGAGGCCAAGGCGGGTGGATCACGAGGTCAAGAGATCAAGACCATCCTGGTCAACATGGTGAAACCCCGTCTCTACTAAAAATTACAAAAAATTAGCTGGGCATGGTGGCGCGTGCCTGTAATCCCAGCTACTCAGGAGGCTGAGGCAGGAGAATTGCCTGAACCCAGGGGGCGGAGGTTGCGGTGAGCCGAGATTGCGCCATTGCACTCCAGCCTGGGTAACAAGAGCGAAACTCCGTCTCAAAAAAAAAAAAAAAGAGAGGCATGAAGAGCCCATTGTCCACACATGTGTTACAGCTTCTTTTAGGAGAATGTTCTCCAGGCCTTTTATGTTCTGTCTCTGATTCTCAGAACTCTGCAAGTCAGCGTGACTACCCTGCTCCAAATCTAAGTAAATAGAGCCTCCCCGAGGAAGAAGAACACGTGCCCAGTGTCACAGAGCTTGCAGGAGGCAGAGTGGAAGTCTATTCCAGCTCTGCCTGCAGGACCCTCTCATTTTCCCTCTGATTCCCTTCTCGACAAAGGGTCTTCTTCACTATGTGGGTCCCCCCCATGAGCACAGATGGCTCTGGGGAAATGTGGATTCTTGAAGAGAAGCAGGAAAACTGGGAGAGGGTTTTCTGTCAGAGCAATCCGACATACACAAGTCAGTTAGGCATGGCCAGAAGATTTCTTTTAACTCCCAGGTAATACAAATTTTAAGTGCATTATGACAGAAATAATACTTTTGTCCAGGGAAAAATGAGGTGGAAATTCTCAAAAAAGCAAGTTTTAGAAACGTGTTTAATTTCTAGTGTACAGTCCCCATCACGTGTCATCTCACGGCAGCTGTTGAAGGTACAGAAGCCAAACGAGAACCAGCAGAGCTGCGCATCATGGAAGGCCTTGGTTGGGAATTGTCGCTGTGGGTAACAAGTTACATTCACTTTCACTAACTCACAATCGAGGCATATTTTTTACTACAAATACAGAAACTCTGACACTTAGATGTTAGATCGGGGCACCACCAAATGGGGGTGAAGGTGATTTTGTACAACACCGTTACCAACAGGAATGGGACTGTGATGAACTACAGAATTGACCTTGACGAAGAGCATTCAGAATTGCACAAAGCACATATTAATGCTGGATTAATGAGTTTTCACTTTCATCACTTCTGAGAATACAGCAGATATTTCAAATGTTACTCACCTACCTTATAGATAAAAACAAACAAAATAAAAGAAAACCCCACTTCAATCAGAAATAGACCCCACAACACCTTGAGTAACAGAGATCAGTCAGCATTCACTGGGCCATGAGACCTACGAGAGTGGAGGTCAGTGGCATTCCTCATGCTATTTCAGAAAACAGAACAGTAAAAGCCCTTCAGCCCTCAGTCCCTAAGCATTTATGGCTTCTGGAGGTGCCACCCAAGATGACTAGCTGGGACTGAAGAAGCCAGAAAGCTTATGGGAAAGATTTTGCTCTAAAAATTCCAGACAGAAAAGGTATCGCAGAACCTATAGAGCAGAGGCCAGGCGAGGAGAGGACGATGGAGGAAAAGACTACAGTGTCCTGATACAGGCAGAGTGAAAATGACGCCAGCATTTACCTTTGTCTTCTCTGTGATTTCACTTGGGACGCAGCTGCTGTTCCTCATGGGAACCGAATGAGGTCCTGAATCTGCTAAGGGCAAGAGAAGGAAATGGAGCTAAATCTGGCTTGCATGTTCTGTGCAGAATAAGAAACCCTCCATGCCTTTTGCTGCCATCTCACTCTCTTTGCCACACTCAGGTCCCTTACCAGAGGCACAGGGTTAACTGATCAGATGCATCAGAGGACCCTGGTGCCCTCTGGGCCTGAGCCTTGAGGAAGATACTGCAGAGTCCTGGTCCAGGGGTTTGCTTAACTCTCAACAGGCTGTGGACAAGTCGGGCTCTAACCAGCTGGAAATGAGCTTTAAATCAGGGGTTCCCAGTACACATCAGAGGAAATCACCCATCATGTGAGCACAGACTCCAAATTCAAATAGAAACAGCCGTGGATGGGAAGAACAGCTACAGGCCCAGGACAGGAGCGGCACTGCTCCTTTTCTTCAGCTGTCGGGGCATTTAAAATCCCGTGGATTCATAGTGAATCCAACTTCCACATCTCACCAGGCATTGCCAATATTTATGAACAGAAATGAACATAAAGAGACTAACAGTCATGAGAAAAGGTAAGCGCTGTAGGAATTAAATGGGGGTCGGGTGAGGTGGCTCACACTTCTAATCCCGGAACTTTGGAAGGCTGAGGTGGGCAGATCACTTGAGGTCAAGAGTTACAGACAAGCCTGACCAACATGGTGAAACTCTGTCTCTACTAAAAACACAAAAAGAAACATTTGTCAGGCATGGTGGCAGGCACATGTAATCCCAGCCACTTGGGACGCCGAGGCAGGAGAATTGCTTGAACTTAGGAGGCGGAGGTTGCAGTGAGCAAAAACTGCACCACTGCACTTCAGCCTGGGTGACAGAGTGAGGTTTTCAAAAAGAAAAGGAAAGAAAAGAAAGAAAGAAATCAACCGGAAAGTTTGAGGGTCACACTTCAAATGTTAGAGGAGTAAGATTACATAGAAATTTAGCTTACTAAAGGAGTTATCTAGTTCACAATAAACAATTTAAATGAGCAAAAAGAACGAAGGAAGTTCCAAAAAGTGCAAATAAATGCTTCTTTTCTTAAAGCAGATCTCAGGTACTGCTTTATTGAGCCATGAAGACACTGCGCGAAAGTATCTGCTCTCCTCAGCACTTCCAGCTCCCATTCTAAAATCCTATTGTTGTTACTTTTCTCAAATAAAAGAAAAACAAAGCCTTCACACTGACTCAAGGTGGGAGGGGGAGCTGGCCCATTTGCCTTGTAGGCTCATCTTCACAGTTAAAAGTAACCAAGACGTCAGTGGGGGGCAAAGTCCACAGTCAGTGGAGGGGCCTGAGCTCCACCATTCACACGGGTCCAGCCAAGAGCCATTCAGCTAGGGTACCTGAGAAAAATGGGGTCGTGCCCCCCAGCGAGACAACTGTTCTCTTCACAAGTGCTTGGAAGTGTTTCCAGGAAACATGACAATGACCCCACCTGAGCCCTCACCCCCAAAAGGAGAAGCAGGGCATGTGGGTCCTGCAGCGGAAACTAAGCGGCTGCCTTAACGGGAGCTCCCACCTCGCCAGAAAGCGTTCTTCAGGCACAGGCGTTTCTGGGCTGGCTCCTCACTCATGTGTCTCCCTGGCACTCTCTTCTTTTTCCTCATTCTCCATCTAGAAGACAGAGAAAGAACTGACTTGAAGAAGAATTAAAACACCACGTTCTTTACTAGACATTCAAAGCTTCATCTTTTTTTGTTGTTGTTGTTGAGACGGGGTTTCACCATGTTGGCCAGGCTGGTCTTGAACTGCTGACCTCAGGTAATCCACCCGCCTCAGTCAAAGCTTCATCTTGAAAAAAAAAAAAAAAAAAATCCTTAAAAATGACCATAACAACTGAGTGCAGTGGCTCATGCCTGCAATCCCAGCACTTTGGGAGGCTGAGGTGGGCAGATCACCTGAGGTCGGGAGTTTGAGACCAGCCTGACCAACATGGAGAAACTGTCTCTACTAAAAATACAAAAAAGTCAGGCGGAGTGGCACGTGCTTTTAATTCCATCTACTCGGGAGCCTAACGCAGAGAATTGCTTGAACCCGGGAGGTAGAGGTTGCAGTGGGCTGAGATTTTGCCACTGCACTCCAGCCTGAGCAACAGAGACTCAGTCTCAAAAAGAAAAAAAATCTATTACAATGACCTACCTGTGCCGCTTGTAGGCAGCCTTGCTCTCTGCCAGCTCCCTGTCCAAGGCTTGAGCACAGCGCTGTGGGGAGAAAAATACATCCACGTCCTCATCTGGCAGACTATGCCCCAAAGCACGGGAAACAAACAAAGAAAACTTACCCGGTTGTCAAGAGCATTTCTTGCAGAAGAGGTGACCTGAAAAAGCCACCACGCCCAGCCTGAAAGAACATCTTTCAAGTTCTTTGTAAAATTTGATTTTTCTGATTTTAACTCACAGGTAATTAAGTTAAAATTAGAAGTGGTACATTGAAAAACATCCCCTCTTCAGGCGTGGTGGCTCACGCTTGTAATCCCAGCACTTTGAGAGGCTGAGGTCGGTGGATCACTTGAGATTGGGAGTTTGAGACCAGCCTGGCAAACATGGTAAAACCCCATTCCTACTAACAATACAACAATTAGCTGCATGTGGTGGTGACCACCCATCATTCCAGCCGCTCGTTGGGGGCTGAGGCAGGAGAATCACTTAAACCCATGAGGTAGAGGTTGCAGTGAGTCAAGATCACACCATTATACTCCAGGCTGGGTGACAGAGCCAGATTGTTAAAAAAACAAAAAAAACAAGAGAAAACTTCCCCCAACTTACATTGACAATTCTCTGTTCAGGACTAAGTGGGGTAGAGACTGTTAGATGCAGCAAGGCGTGGTCACTGGCAACTGTAATCCCAGCACTTTGGGAGGCTGAGGCAGGTGGATCACCTGAGTTTAGAGCTCAAGACCAGCCTGGCAAAAATGGGGAAATCCTGTCTCTACGAAAAATACAAAAATTAGCCAGGCATGGTGGTACATCCTGTAGTTCCAGCTACTTGGGAGGCTGGGGCAGGAGACTCACTGGAACCTAGGAAGCAGAGGCTACCTGAGATTGTGCCACTGCACTCCAATCTGGGCCAGAGAGTTAGACTCCATTTAAAAAAAAAAAAAAAAGAAAGAAAGGCAGTCCCGAATGGCAGGTAATTATCTAGGTTGTAAAAATAAAACATACTTCCTCTTCCCTCTAATATAAAAAGCATTGTGGGATTAGTGCTTTTTTCTTGGATCATTGTTCAGGAGGAGGGTCAGCCCCCAGACAACCACGTTTTTACTGTCATGAAAGGCAAGAGAAAATAAAGCGCTCACTCTACCCAATGGACAAAAAGGCTCAAATGATGACACAACTTAGCAGCCAAATTCCTACCAAGTACAGACTTTGGACATACTGATCCCTCTCCACCTGCAACCGGGAACATGCACTTTGAAGATGTCATTTGAAATGACACTGCCCAGACACACTCTTCATTGATTCTCTGAAGGGCAGTTCCAACAGACTCTCTGGGGCTTTCTCTGCATCATGAGAGGCAGCTCTGCCCTTCGCCGTCCTGCCGTTTGTCGCCTCTTCCCCATGATCTCAGAGGAACTTTGTCTCAGGCCAACTTTGTTCCTTGGGCTCTTTCATTTCCCCTAAAAATCACTTACTCCCCCTCTAAACTGCCCCCATCTCCATCTCCCCTGAAAAGAGGGTGCCCTTTAAGCACCAACCATCTGACCCTTCCTGCAGTCTCATTTCTCGGCTGGCTCCCATGTTTCTGCCTGTTGTATAAACAGCTTCTCCTGTTAAGCTGTCTGTTGTTAGTTTCTGCAGTGAATCTTTAGAGAGGAGAGTGAAAGCTTTCCTTCCAGCCATATGATAGAATTATGAAGCGAAAAGTTTAGACAGAATTTCCTATTTAAAGTGCCAAAACTTCATACTCCATTTCTGATAAAGATCACAAAGGTTAAAAAAAGGAAAACTTAGTTTTGACCCAAAGCTCTGTTGACATTCTATTCAACAAACATCAATCTATTTAATTTTCATCATGTAAATGGCAGATATTTTTATAATTCTTATGCTAATAAATCATTTCCCTGATGTTTTTGGTAAAACCCAATATTCATAATGAAGTCCAGAACCATGAATTGTTTTAAATAATTTCTTCTTATGTGTGATTACAAGTATATCTCTACAGGAAATTAGTATACTCACACAGAAGGTAATTTTTCGGAGGAAAAGGCCAACGGTAGAAACTCCCAGAAACACAATAGTTAAAAGCATCCACAGAACGCCAAGAAAGCCATGCCAAGGATACAGATAATCAGGTGGAAAACTGATGGCCTGGAATAATAACAGTTGAAATCATGAAAAGGTCAGTGACATGCACAATATTTCAGCAAAAAACAATAATCTTTAGAAACCATCAACCTCCTCCAAGAGGTAACCACACCCCTCAGATATCACCAGGGGATTCCACTGCTTCAAAAAAGATTGAAAGTTACCTGTCTCATGTTATTTGCATGGCTGGTAGTGTGTTTAGGCATTCTAAAGATACAGTGTCTTTGTTTTTCTTGACGTAAAGCAGGGATATCCAAATTTTTTGCTTCCTGGGCAATATTAAAAGGAGGAAACTTGTCTTAGGCCACACATAAAATACACTAACACTAACAATAGCTGATGGTCTAAAAAATATCACAAAAAGGCCAGGCGCAGTGGCTCATGCCTGTAATCCCAGCACTCTCGGAGAGTGAGGCGAGGGGATCACCTGAGGTCAGGAGTTCCAGACCAGCATGGCCAAAATGGTGAAACCTCATCTCTACCAAACATACAAAAATAGTCAGGTATGGTGGTGGGTGCCTGGAATCCCAGCTACTCAGGAGGCTGAGGAAGAAGAATCACTGAAACCAGGGAGGCAGAGGTTGCAGTGAGCCAATATTGCACTATTGCACTCCAGCCTGGGAGACGAGAGGGAGACTTTGTCTCAAAAAAAAAAAAAACAAAAAAACAAAAACAAAAACGAAAACAAAAATTACAAAAAGAAAAAAAAATTTTTTTTTTGAGACAGTGTCCCACTCAGTCGCCCAGACTAGAGTGCAGTGGTGCAATCTCGGCTCACTGCAACCTCCGTCACCTGGGTTCAAACCATTCTCCTGCCTAAGCCTCCTGAGTAGCTGGTATTATAGGCACCTGCCACCACACCTGACGGATTTGTTATATTTTTAGTAGAGACAGCATTTCACCATGTTGGTCAGGCTGGTCTGAAACTCCTGACCTCAACTGATCCGCCAGCCTCAGCCTCCCAGTTACAGGTGTGACCCACCACACCAGGCCTGTCATTTCTTTATATTTAAATAACATAAGGACTTTAAGAGCCTTTCTCCTTTGGGTCAATCAATGATCTGCACCAAACACATTTCACAAAACCAAGGACAGTCCTCACTCACATCCTGGTCACATCACTCCCAGTGACTCCCGCATTGCAAACCTCCCATCAGGTGCAGCCCTTTCCTCTCCATTTGATAGGCTTCTCAGCTCCCATCACACTGACTGGACAAAGACTCCCTAGAGGCAGCCCCCAAGAGCAGAAAACACGAATGACACAGAAGTTCCTAAAAGTCATCAAACCAGATGACACGAAACTCAAATGACATTTCACTTTGTTTTGGTTTTGTTTGAGACAAGAGTGCAGTAGGCATCCGACTAGTCATTTTTGGAATCTTTTGTAGAGAAGGGGTTTGGCTATGATGCCCAGGCTTGAACTCCTGGACTCAGGTGATCTGCCCACCTTAACTCCTCAAAGCGCTAAATTACAGGACTGCACTGTGTAATATGCCATGTGACACAGCCCAATAACAAGGAAGAAACCCCGAGGGCCCAGCGTCTACTCACAGGGGTGGATTGATGGCTGGGAAACCCCAGCAGGAGGAGCCAAAAGAGCAGCCACGGCACCCGCATGTCCTGGTCCTCTCAGGGCGCCCTGAGGCGGCCAGGACAGAGGTGGGGGTGGCTTAGGGTTGAGGGAGGGCGGCCAGGACAGAGGTGGGGGTGGCTTAGGGTTGAGGGAGGGAAGGGGATGGGGATGGGGCAGGATCTGACTTGGGGAGGGGGATGGGAAAAAAGGGGAGGGAGGGGAATGGGGGATGTTGGGCACCTGGAGGAGGGGGAGGAGAAAGGAGTCTAGGAAAGGATCGGGTTGAAACTAAGTCTTCAAGTGCGAGTGGGAGGTTCAACTACAAGTCAGGGAGAAAGTCTATCAAGTAAGAAAGCCGGAGGCTCAGGAGCAATTAGACGGAGACCAGGGCTCTGGTTTCCACCAAAACTTCTCCTGTTTGGGCGCTGCCTAAGCAACCCTCCTGCTTTATACTCCCTCTCCACCAATCCCTGGCCCTGGAACATGCTACCTCACAGTGGAGATTCCACGAAGCACCTGTGCCCTCCAATGCCCCTCCCCCATCTCAGCCCCAAACATGACTCCCAAGGACAGGTCCTCTCTGGAACCTTCACAGACCTGATTTCTGGTCTTCCCCGCCAGCTCCCTGTCCCTGCTCCTGGGTGGCTCCTTCCTTCCTGAGCTTCCAGGGTTTCTCATGGTCAGTCTTGGCTGCAAAATATAAGAAACAAATGATGGCAGGATGGCAGGAAGAACCTTACACACAAGCAGATTGGGAGGCTCTACAGCCCCCTCTCAGCCATTCATATTCTAAGCAACAAAACATCAGAAGGATTCGGAAGGTCCCAATGGTAAAGCACCTCCATCACATCCGTGCAGCCATCGTCCATCATCCTGTATCTCAGGAACAGATGTTGGAGCTACGCTAGTTTTAAGCATGTGAGGTACATTTACAAAAATTAACCCGACTTAGTTTATCAAGCAAATCTCAATATATTTCAGAAAAATCCAATCACACAGCAGGTTTCTGGTCACAGAATTGTGTTAGAAGTCAATGATTAAAAGCTAACCAAAAATTATTATATGCTTGGAAATTCAAAGTCCCCTTATAAGATATCAACAGAAGAAAGAATCCAAAATGAAACGAGACTGCCTTTACACTCATTGAGAAGGTCATAACGTGGCAATCAAATGCCTCCCCCGGCCCAGGAATTCCACTTTGTGGCACAAGGTTGTGTGGTCTCAAATCACCCCTAACACACCTAGACATGGTAACATCTGAAACAGGGTGATGGTGTCACTTATCTATATATCTTACTGCCTGTGAAGGTGGACTTTTCACCTTGTTCGGCACAATCGCTTCAGCAGCCAGGAGGGAAAAGACGAAAAGCCCAGAAGGAAGAATAGAAACCCTGAGTTTCCAATGGGCTAAATATAAGCTGCCATCAAACGCAAATAAATCCAAAGAGCAGTGACCACACGGTGGCTTCAAGAAAAGCCCACCGGTGTGACAAGTCCCACTAATGTGTAAGAATGGTGGTGCAGCTGGAGAACTGTCTCCCAAATAACTGGATCTTATTTATCTTAGCAATGTTCTGAACTTTAAGTGTCTAGGTCTTATACATACTGTGTTAAATTTAGCCTGAAGTAGTTCCTGTTTTTTGATGCTGTTATATATGGCATTTTTTCCCATTTTCCAATTGTTTATGCGTATGTACAAATAAAACTGATTTTTGTATATTGTCCATGTAGCCTATAACCTAGCTAAACCCACCTATTAATTGTGATAGCTTTTCAATATAGATTCCTTAAGATTTTCTGCAATCAGTGTTGTCTGTAACATCTGTATCTCTTCCTTTCCAGTCTGCATGTCTGGTATATCCTTTCCCTTACACTTGCTAGGATCGCCAGTAAAATGTGGACTAAAAGTGGTGACAGCAGACATCCTTGCCCTGATCCTCATCTTAGCCGTTAGCTATGGGTTTTTCATAGATTTTCTTTACCAGGTTGAAAAAGTTTACTTCTTTCCCAATTTGATGAGGATTTTAACAAAATCATAAAAGGATGTTTAATTCTATCATACACTTTTTGTGCAACTAGTGAAAGAATCATATGGCTTTTCTTTTTTTAGTCTGTAAATTAGATGTATTTTTGATTATTAAATTTTGCATTCCTGATACAAACCCCACTTGATTATGACATCTTACAATTTGCATAAATTGCTAAATTAAAATTTAAAAAATTAAATTTTAAAAAAGATGCCACATTTTTTTTGAGACAGAGCCTTGCTCCGTCACCTAGGTTGAAGTGCAGTGGCATGCTCTTGGCTCACTGCAACCTCTGCCTGCCAGGTTTAAGCAATTCTCCCACCTCAGCCTCCTGAGTAGCTGGGACTACAGGCACATGCTACCACACCTGGCTAACTCTTTGTACTTTTAGTAGAGCAGGGTTTCACCATGTTAGACAGGATGCTCTCGGTCTCCTGAGCTCATGGTCTGCCTGCTTCACCCTCCCAAAGTGCTGGGATTACAGGCGTGAGCTCGCCTGGCTGCTAAACTACATTTTATAACGCTAGCCTAATAAAATGAATTGGAGTGTGTTCTTATTTTTCAGCAAAAGTTTGCACAGAATTGTTTCTATTTGTTCCCTAAATATTTGCCGAAATTCACCAGTAAAGACATCTAGATATAACGCTTCCTTGTGGGAAGGTTTTTAAACTATAAATTCACTCTCTTTAACAGATGTAGGGCTATTCAGATTACCTTTCTTCCTGAGTAACCTGTGAGATTTGATAGTTTGTGTCTTTGAAGGAATTTGCCTATTTCCTCTAAGCTGCCAAATGTATCAGCATAAAGTTATATATAATGCCATTTTAATGTCTGCAGGATCTGTAGAAATGTCCTCTCTTTATTCCTCATAGTGGCAAATTCTCTTCTCTCCTTTTATTCTTGACTAACTAGAGATTATCAATTTCAAAGAACCATTTTTGCACCAGGCATGGTGGCTCACACCTGTAATCTCAGCACTTTGAGAGGTCACGATGGCTCTCTTGTGGCCACCGGTTTGAGACCAGTCTGGACAACAAATTGAGAACTCCCACCTCAACAAAAGAAAGATAAAAATTAGCCGGGCATGGTAGGGCCTGCTTACAGTCCTAGCTCACACTCCCTTGAGCCCAGGACTTGGAAGCTGCAGTGAGCAACGACCACACCACAGTGGCATTAACACGGCTCACTGAAGCTTCAAATTCCCAGGCTCAAGCAATTCTCCTGCCTCAGCCCCCAAAGTCGGTGGGACTACAGGCATGCACCACAATGCCAGGCTTTTGTTTTGTAGAAATAAGGTTTCACTAGTGAAACCCTGTCTCTACTAAAAAAAAATACAAAAATTAGCCAGGCATGGTGGCACCGGCCTGTAATCTCAGCTACTCAGGAGGCTGAGGCAGGAGAATAGCTTGAACCCAGGAGACAGAGGTTGCAGTGAGCCAAGATCGCACCACTGCACTCCAGCCTGGGTGGCAGAGCAAGACTCCATCTCAAAAAAATAAAGAAAAAGAAATAAGGTTTCACCATGTTGCCTAGGCTGGTCTCAAACTTCTGAGCTCAAGCGATCTGCCAGCTTGGCCTCTAAGGTATGCACCACTGTGCCTGGCCCCTTTTTTATTTAATTGACTATTATCTTTACCTCTTTCATTCCGTTTGATTTATTCTGCTTTTTTGAGATGGAGTTTTGCTGTTGTTACCCAGACTGGAGTGCAATGGCACGATCTCGGCTCACTGCAACCTCCACCTTCTGGGTTCAAGCAATTCTCCTGCCTCAGCCTCCCCAGTAGCTGGGACTACAGGTGCGCAACACCATGCCCAGCTAATTTTTGTATTTTTAGTAGAGATGGGGTTTCACTACGTTGGTCAGGCTGGTCTCAAACACCTGATCTCAAGTAATCCATCCACCTTAACCTCCTAAAGTGCTGGAATTACAGATGTGAGCCACTGCACCCAGTCTGGTTTTTATATTTTTAAATGGTTGGGGTTGGGGGGAATATGTGACAGACTTATATGACTTTCAAAGCCTCAAATATTTGCTACCTGGACCTTTACAGAAAAAGTCTATTAACTCCTGGTTTAGATGATTGGTTGATTTTAAAACTGTCTTCTTTCTTACAGTAAGCCTTTAATATGAAGATTTTTCCCCATAGCTGCTTTAGATGTATTCCATGAATTTCAGTGTTTTTGTTATCATTCACTTCAAATGTTTTCTAAGATTGCTTGTGATTTAATCTTTGACACATGGATAATAAAGAATTGTGCTATTTAATTCCCAAGCACTTGGAGATTTTCTAGTTCTCTTATTATTATTGATTACTAATTTAATTACAGCATTGTCAGAGAACAGAATACTCCATAACATTTCCATCAGCTGGTATTAAGAGACTTCTTTTTTTTTCTTTGAGACAGAATCTTTCACTGTCGCCCAGGCTATAGTGCAGTGGCAAATCTCCGCCTCCTGGGTTCAAGCAATTGTCCTGCCTCAGCCTCCTGAGTAGCTGGGACTACAGGCATGTACCACCATGCCCAGCAATTTCTTTTTGTATTTTTGGTAAAGACGGGGTTTCATCATGTTGGCCAGGATGGTCTCAGTCTCCTGACCTTGTGATCCGCCTGCCTCAGCCTCCCAAAGTGCTGGGATTACAGGTGTGAGCCACCGTGCTCGGCCAAGAGACTTATTTTTGGACGCAGTACAAGGTCTCTCTTGGCAAATACTCCTTGTGCAGTCAAAAAAAAAAACTTTGTTTTTTTCAGATGGAGTCTCGCTCTGTTGCCCAGCTGGTGCAATCTCGGCTCACTGCAACCTCCACCTCCCTTTGCCTCAGCCTCCCAAGCAGATGGGATTACAATTGCACGCCACCATGCCTGCTTAATTTGTTTGTATCTTTAGTAGAGACGGGGTTTCACCACACTGGCCAGACTGGTCTCCAGCTCCTGAGCAATCCGTCCGCCTCCGCCTCCCAAGGCGCTGGGATCACAGGTGTGAGCCACCGCGCCTGGCCAAGAGCATTTTTAATAGTCACTGAAGGTAGTATTCTATTTATGTCAATTAGCAAAAGCTGGTTGACAGTGTTTAGATTTTTTATATCCTTAATACATTTTTAGGGTGTTAGAATCCCCAAATATGATGGTGAATCTGTCTATGTCTCCTTTCCTGCACATTTTTGCTTCATATATTTTCAAGTTCTGTTATCAGAAAAACACATTTTTATCTGTCCCGTTAAAGGAGACTGGGAATTACAGGAGTGGGAATGTCCCTTTTAATCGGGAGCAAAGTCCAGACTTCTAACAAGAAAAGGTCTGGGCCAGGTTCAGTGGCTCACGCCTATAATCCCCACACTCTGGGAGGCCGAGGCAAGAGAACCTGTCGACTCCAGGAGTTGGAGACCAGCCTGGGCACATGGTAAGATCCTCATCTCTACAAAAAATAATTTTTAAAAATGAGCCGGGTGTGGTGGGGCATGCCTAAAGTCCTAGCCACTGAGGGGGCAGAGACAGGTCCAAGGTGGAATCCCACAGGTCTGAAGCTGCAGCGAGCTGTAATAGCGCCACGGCACTCCAGCCTGGGCGACTGAGTGAGATCCCGTCTTTGGGGGTAAAAAAATTTTTCCCTACCTCTGCCTCTCAATTTTTTTTTTTAAAGGTCGGATTGGTTTGGGCAGAGTCTATGTAATAGAGACTATTCCAGAGCCACGACAGCTCATAAACCACAGGGCAGAATACAGATGACTGTCTTATGAGTGCACATCCTTACCTGTGTCTTTTTTTTGAGACGGAGTCTCATTCTGTCGCCGTGGCTGAAGTTTAGTGGTGCGACCTCGGCTCACTGCAACCTTCACTTCCCGGGTTCAAGCGATTCTCCGGCCTCAGCCTTCTGAGTAGCTGGGACCACCGGTGTGTGCCACCACGCCTGGCTGGTTTTTGCATTTTTAGTAGAGGCGGGTTTCACCGCGTTAGCCAGGCTGGTCTCAATCTCCTGACCTCGCGGTCCGCCCGGCTCCGAGTTTGCAGACTCACAGTGAGGGGGAAAGTGTCCCTCCCTGCAGACCCGAGAGCCCTGGAGCTTTTCGGGGAGCAACTTGGCAGGGAGGGTCCCAGCAGCTGCTCGCAGGCAGGAACCAAGGGGTGCAGCCCAAAGCGACCCTCGGGCCGGCGAGAACCTTCCGCTTCCTGGCGTCTTTCTCCTCAGTCCCGCCGGTTGCTGTGGGAGCCGCGGCCTCCCGGTGCCTGGAGGTCGCTCCATCTCCTCTTCTCGCAGCTGCGAGGCAGAGGCGGCGGCGGCTGGAGCGGGGTGGGCGGCCTGAGGCCAGAGCCCAGCCGGTCCCGCGGGGAATATGGCGACCTGGGCAGCAGCAGCCTCGAGGGCGGCACCGCTGACTTCCGGGAGGAGCGAAGGCAAATCAAGATGAAGCCGCGTGGAACCCTGGCCCCGCCACCCCGGTAGGGGGCAGCAGCGACGCAGCCGGGAAGACTCAGTCTGGGCGCTGGGCACCAACAAGCGCCACAGCAACCTCCAGGCGGCGCCACAGCCACCTCCAGGCGGCGCCCACACCAGCCTCCAGGCGGCGCCCACACCAGCCTCCATGGGGTGCCGCGGGCACTGCACCTGCTGCTGCCACCCCGGGGCGGGAACTGCACTGTCGGCGCCGCGACACTGACCCGGCTCGCCCAGGCCCGCAGCAGCTGGAGGAGGAGCCCACGGCCACTGCCCTGAGGTGACAAGGAGGAACAGGACAGTGCCCCGGAAAAGGTCTGGAACTCAGAGCTCGGGCCCCTGGGCCAGGAAAGGCCAGGAGCCGAAGGTGGAGAGATGGAGCTGGAGGAGCAGCAGGGGGGAAGGAGTGCGCTCCACGGGCAGGGTCAGCATCCACTGGGGGGGTTAGAGCATGAAGAGGATGAAGCAGCAGAAAGAGCAGAAACGAGAAGGTGCAATGACACAGCGGAGCACAGTGCAGAATCCAGCCCCAGGACTCCAGTCAAGGCTGGCTTTAATTGCACCTCACACCCCCACCCCTAATCAGAGACGATCAGGGGAGAGGGAGGACCCAAGGAACACTGGAACCTGAAGGGCGGGAATCTGAGGCCAGGACTGATTGTGGGAAATGGTGGGAATCAGGAAAGGAGAAAGTGAGGCAGAATGGAGGACAGGGTGTGGGGGGCGTGAGCTGAGTTAGGAAGGATTAGAAATCAGAAGCTTAAAAAGAATCCAGAAAGAAACTGTCCTTAAGAAGGTGCGTGCTGCAGCTGGGCACGGTGGGAGGCCGAGGTGGGCGGATGACCTGAGGTCGGGAGTTCCAGACCAGCCTGGCCAACATGGCAAAACCCTGTCTCTACTAAAAATACAAAAATTAGCCAGGTGTGGTGGTGTGCACCGCTAATCTCAGCTACTCAGGAGGCTGAGGCAGAAGAATTGCTTGAACCTGGGAGGTGGAAGCAGCAACGAGCTGACATCATGCCAGTGCACTCCGGCCTGAGCTACAAGAGTAAGACTCTGTCTCAATTAAATAAAAAAAAAGGTGCATGCTGGGATTGAAGGAAGGGGTTCAAAGATTCAGAGAGTGAGTTTATTTGCAGCGCCCAGAGGAGGAAAACAGAACCCTTCTGCTCCAACTCCAGCTGCTCCTCTGAGTCCCAGGCCACCTGCTCCTGTGTCTGCCGACCTACCCACCTGTCTCTGAACCCTGCTGGAGTGCTGTTCCTCCTGATCTCTGCCCTGCCCTAGACCTTTCACTACCACCATCACCACTGCCCAGCACCCACCAGCCCCACTGCCCCGACCATAGCCTGCACCTATCCCAGACACCCCTGCTTCCAGCCTCATGCCCTAGGTGACCCAAAGGGGACCTGGGCACACAGGTGAGGAGGGTGCTCTTCTGGTTCCTCCTGCTCAGGTGTCCCAGTCGTGCAATCATGAGTGTGAGGAAATGTTGGATCTGGCATAGATTCTATTTCTCAAGCTGTTTCACACTGTGGTTTCCCTAACAGTGTTCTGGCCTCACCAGTCCACATCAAGTTCTGGGTTCTACTGGCCCTGTTTGGCCCAAACACAGCAAGGTTGGCAGGATGGAAATGGGAAAATGGGGACTTTATAATGTCAAAAAGGAAGGATTTCATGGGCCAGTGGAACACAATAGAGAAGCCAGAAATGAATCCGTGAATTTACATCCAATTTGTTCTTCACCAAGGTGCCAAGAACATACCTTGGGAACAGACGGTGTCTTGAGTAAGTGGTGCTGGGAAAATGAGAGATATCTACATGTGAAGAATAAAACTAGCCCCCTATGCTTCACCATATATAAAAATCATATCAAAATTAATTAGAAACTTACATTTAAGAAACTACAGGCTGGGTGTGGTGGCTCACACCTGTAATCCCAGCCCAGGTTGAGGCAGATGGATGACCTGAGATCAGGTGTTCAAGGGCATCCTGGCCAACATGATAAAACCCGGTCTCTACTAAAAATACAAAAATTAGGCCAGGTGCAGTGGCTCACGTCTGTAATCCCAGCACTTGGGAGGCCAAGGCCGGCAGATGCCCTGAGGTTGGGAGTTGAGACCAGCCTGACCAACACGGAGAACCCCATCTCTACTAAAAATACAAAAGTGATGGGCGTGGTGGTGCATGCCTGTAATTCCAACTACTCAGGGAGCTGAGACAGAAGAATCGCTTGAACCTGGAGGGGTGGAGGTTGCAGTGAGGTGAGATCGTGCCACTGCACTCCAGCCTGGGCAACAGAGTGAGCCTCTGTCTTAAAGAAAAACAAAAAAGGAATCTACGAAACTACTAGAAGAAAACATTGGGGAAATGCTTTAGAACACTGGCCTAGGCAAAGATTTTTTGAGTAAGACATCAAAAGTACAGGCAACCGAAGCAAAAATTGATAAATAGTATTACATCAAGCTAAAAAGCTTCCTCACAGAAAACAAATCTTAAAACATTAAAATTAAATAGAAACAGAGTGAACCAGGAGCAGGAGCTCATGCCTGTAGTCTCAGCACTTAGGGAGGCCAAGGCGGGCAGATCACTTGAGGTCAGGAGTTCTAGACCAGATGGGCCAACATAGTGAAACCCTGTGTCTACTTAAGTACAAATCATTAGCCAGGGATGGTGGCAAGTGCCTGTAATCCCTAGCTGCTAAGGAGGCTGAGGTAGGAGAATCACTTGAACCTGGGAGGTGAAGGTTGCAGTGAGCCGAGATTGTGCCACTGAATCCAGCCTGGGTGACAGAGTGGTTTAAAAAAAAAAAAATTAAAAACAAATATCCCAAACAATTCCATATGAACAAGAGCCATGACATGCTCGGCCCCATGACCTCCTCCAGTCCAGCCAGAAGCTCCATGCCAGGCCTGGGGCCCATGCCCGCTGCCAGCGTCTCCGTGCCCAGCCAGAACTGCAGGGACTCGGCCTTACCAAGCGTGTGGTGGCAGCCTGGACCCCCAGGACTTTGTGGGCTCGTGCCTCTTGTCCAACTTGTGACCCTCGCCAACAGCCCTGTAGGGCCAGATTGGAAGGGGTGAGGCTGTCATCCAGACCAAAGCCCTGACATTGCACTGCCCTGGCAGCCAGCCCACCCAGAAGCCATAGACCAGACATATGCCAGCCTTAGTCAGACTGAACGGCTGGGCAGCGGGACAGCCCATTCGAGCCCCTGGCTGTCCCCATTCATCGCCCTATACCCACCCCCATTGCCCCTGTCCCCAGCTGTGACCTCACGTGCAAGGGGCTCCCTTCACCTTGGTGCCTCAGTTCCCCTAACTGTAAAACAGGGACGGGGCGGCCCAGTGGCCCAGAGGAGCCAGCTGTTGAGCCCTGCCCGCCCCTGCCCTCTAGGTGGCCTGCAGTCCGATGAGGATTGTTTTATACGTGCAATATTTGGCCCACAGACTCCCAGCTGCCCCCGTCGTGCTCAGGCAATAACCGGGTCAGCCCCAGTCCACGTGCATCCGTGGTGACCTGAGGAGCAGCACCCTGGCTCCCTCCAGCACCCGCACCCAGAGGTGGGCCGGAGGTGAGGCTGGGATCCCACCGCCATGAAGAATGGACTGACCAGCTGAGGCAGCAGTGTCCCCACCGTGGCCCCCACGCCCCGCTAACCCCCATAACCCCCACACTCCCATTCTACAAAATAAACGACAGCATTGGCCAAAACAAACAAACAAAACCTCTCAGGCCAGGCGCGGTGGCTCACGCCTGTAAACCTAGCACTTTGGGAGGCTGAGGCAGGTGGATCACGAGGTCAAGAGATCGAGACCATCCTGGTCAACGAGGTGAAACCCCGTCTCTACTAAAAATACAAAAATTAGCTGGGCATGGTGGTGCGTGCCTGTAATCCCAGTTACTCAGGAGGGTGAGGCAGGAAAATTGCTTGAACCCAGAAGGTGGAGGTTGCGGTGAGCCGAGATCGTGCCATTGCACTCCAGTCTGGGTAACAACAGCGAAACTCCATCTCAAATTTAAAAAAAAAAAAAAAAAAGAATTCATTAGGAAGAAGAACAACGGAAGTCAATACTTCCATTAGACGAAATAGATCGAGCGTGGATAGAGAAGTGCAAGTTGTGATCAGAGAAGGCTGCATGAACCTCATTGGCTAGACTAAAGCACCAGGTGGTAGTAATGGCAGATAAAGCGAAAAAATTACATAGCAGACTGTGGAAATTTTGGAGTACTGAGCCGTTTTGTCATAAGTTAGGAGTCAGTACATTTTCTCATCATTACCCATTTTGTTTACACGTTTTTTTATAAAAGTGTTTGCTTTGGATCTGGGTTCAAATTTTGCTCTGCCTATCACCTACTAGTGATGTGACATCAGGAAGCTCATATAACTTGAGCTTCAGTTTCCCTGTGGGTAAGATGGGGAAAATGCCTCACACAGTTGTGACAAATAAGAGCATGCAGTACAAAACCTAGCACGTAGTAGGCAACTATTTTTTGGAAATTATATATTTATTGCTAATTTGAAGTACATTATGCTTAGATTTTAATTCCTTAGACTGTATTTTGGTTTTTGAAGGTCTTGAATCTGTCGTTCTGATGGCGTTCTGATTTATTCATCTTCACAAAATTTAACAGCTACCACTACCTCCTCTTCTATGCTCTTCTGTACCTGCGAAAGAAGATACCGTTTACGCCGTGGTTTTGTGTATATGTTGTTTGATCTTCTAACCCAGCTCTTCTCTAGTGGAGACTCCAGGGAACTGTTGGCTGATCTGATTTAAGAAGCCCAGTATGTGGCCTCACCACCCTGTTTCTAAATTTTCTCATTATGTTTTGATGAATTCTTAGCTGCAAGAGGGCAAGTACTTAGCCTGGGATTCCAGGATCACCATAATCAGCTGCTATATCTATTTTTTTTGCTTTATCTACCATGGCAATCTAATGCTCTAATCTAGCCCAAGAGGTTTATTCAACAGTTCAGATCACAACATGCCTGCTACTTTATTAGTTGTATTTGGTTTCAGAGACATAATCCAAATCTGATTAAAATTAGGAAAAGATCCTGTGCCCAAGTGACGGTTCCAGATTTGAATCTTTACAAATCTTACTAGCTTTGTAACCTAGAGCAAGTCATTCATTGCCTATCACAGGACTTCGTGGTGGTGAGACGCAAATGGATTAACTATAAGGGATTGTTAACATTGAACTTTAGTAAAAATATGATTATCCATCTCAAAGATAAATAAAAATTTTATTCTAATATTTTAATGGAAGCTCAATAAATTTACTAATAAATTTTAAAAATCAGCTGACATTAGTAATTACATTAGTAAATTTTTAATATTAATCTTATATTAGTAATTTTTACACTTACTGTTTTATGACAGGTAATTTTCTGAACAATATTTCAGAGACATTTGAGACATGTTCAAATGAGTTATAAATGTTCATGACACAATATTAAACCTTTTTTGCACTGGAAGGATTTCTTATCAGTTGAAGCACTGTCAATTGTCAAAAAGGCTGGGGGGATTTCATACACTTTGAAAACTGTTTTCTGGCCAGGCACGGTGTCTTAAGCCTGGAATCCCAGCACTTTGGGAGGCTGAGGGGGGTGGATCACGAGGTCAAGAGATCGAGACCATCCTGGTCAACAAGGTGAAACCCCGTCTCTACTAAAATACAAAAATTAGCTGGGCATGGTGGTGCGTGCCTGTAGTCCCAGCTACTCGGGAGGCTGAGACAGGAGAACTGCTTGAACCCAGAAGGCGGAGGCTGCGGTGAGGCGAGATCATGCCATTGCATTCCAGTCTGGGTAACAACAGTGAAACTCCGACTCAAAAAAAAAAAAAGAAAGAAAGAAAGAAAGAAAGAAAACTGTTTTCTTTACCTCTACTGCATAAAAGCTGTTCATCAGCTTTAAAGGAGACATTCTTATTTTTCCTCTTAATTTGATTTCAGAAGGGTTTATACATCCCTCTGTGACACCATAGATATCCCAAAGGTTTGAATGGCACTCACATGTTGTGGGATATATGGAAATGAAGGAAGCATTTTTATTAATGTAAAAAGGGCATTGGACCTATATCCTTGCCTCTGGCATTTACTAGCTGTGTGTCGTGAACAAGCTTTCAACCTTTCTTTTTTAACTTTCTCATCGCACCCAGCAGAAATTTCTCACCAGTTTAATAAATAGTTGTGATTATCTTGAGCACCTGGTTGATTTTTAATCTTAAAACCATTGTAAAGCAGTACACTGAGCAGGCTGTCTTAATTCATGTTGGCTAAAGTTGAGCTAGAATTTGTCCCATCTCTAGCAAATGCGTACAATTTTATGGCATTCACTTTGTATCTAAAGCTCATTCCTGGCTCTGTCTATCCTCTTTATTCCTATTTTCTCTTCAGCTTTATTTTTCTTATCTATATTTATTTTTATAGGCTATTAATCTATGAAAGCTGCCTTAAATTTTTCCTGGAAGGATATGGGTGCAGGACATTTAATAAAATAGATAATGCCCACTTTTGAAAGCTACTGTAATATATGTAATGAGTGATACACATAGTAGGTATCATTCATTTGGTTTTTTAAAATTGAATCAAAGAATATTGGTTATAACTACTTTGAACTGAGAAAAGTTTAAATAGTTTAATTTTGAAGGGAACGTAGAGTTTCAGAAGAGCAGACTGGCCCATTGCCATGTGTCCAGAAGTCTTCTGTACTTTATATAAAGATAAATGAGGGAGAACGATCCAAGATGGCCGATCGCTAACATCCCGGGATTGCAGCTCTCAGGGAAGGCGCGGAGAACTAGAGGACGCCACACTTTCAGACAAAGTCTGGTCGCTCACGGAGCAGAAGATCCCCCAGTGGTGGAAACACACGGGTCGCCAGCGCGACTCTCGTGGTCGGTGCAGCGGTTCCGCCGGCACCTCGGCGCGGCAGCTCTCGGAGCAGAGTAAACGGGACCGCTTCCCCTTCTGACCGAGGTTTGGAGCCCCGGGAAGGCAGAGTCGCCTACTACAAAGACAAGAAGGAAGCCCGACAGGAGAATCCTGGGCAGAAAAGCACCATCAGTTTTAACGCCGCTGCTCTGGCCCTGGGAACTAACAACCTGGACGTCCACTCAAGAGACCTAATCTGAAAGTTGGTAATTTCAAAGACGAGAGGAGGATAAATTTACAATGACGGGAAGAAACCAGCGTAAAAAAGCTGAGAATGCTCAAAGTCAGAACGCCTCTCCCTCTAAAGATGATCACAGTTCCACATCAACAATGGAACAAGGCTTGATGGAGAACGAGCGCCTCCTGATGACAGAATCACTCTTCAAGGAATGGATAATAACAAACTTCGGTGAGTTAAAAGAACATGTTGTAGCCCAACGTAAAGAAACTAGGAACTTTGACAAAAGGCTTGATGAAATCCTATTGAGAATAGACAACTTAGAGCGGAGTATGAGTGAATTAATGGAACTGAAGAATACAATACAGGAACTCCGAGAAGTATGCACAGGTTTAAACACTCGAATTGTTCAAGCAGAAGAAGGGATATCAGAGGTCAAAGTCCAACTTAATGAAATAAAACGTGAAGAAAAGATTAGAGAAAAAAGGATAAAAAGGAATGAGCAAAGTCTCCAAGAAATGTGGGACTATGTGAAAAGACCAAATTTACGTTTGATAGGTGTACCTGAATGCAATGGAGAGAATGAATCCAAGCTGGAAAATACCCTTCAGGATATTATTCAGGAAAATTTTCCTAAACTAGCAAAGCAGGTCAACATTCAACCCCAGGTAATACAGAGAACACCACAAAGATATTCCTCAAGAAGAGCAACCCCAAGGCACATAATCGTTAGATTCACCAGGGTTGAAACGAAGGAGAGGATACTAAGGGCAGCCAGAGAGAAAGGTCGGATAACCCACAAAGGCAAGCCTATCAGACTTACAGCAGATCTCTCGGCAGAAACTCTACAGGCCAGAAGAGAGTGGGGGCCAATATTCAACATCCTCAAAGAACAGAACCTTCAGCCCAGAATTTCATATCCAGCCAAACTAAGCTTCACAACTGAAGGAAAAATAAAATCTTTTATGAACAAGCAAGAACTCAGAGATTTTATTACCACCAGGCCTGCTTTACAAGAGCTTCTGAAAGAAGCATTACACACAGAAAGAAACAACCAGTATTAGCCTTTCTAAAAATACACCAAAAAGTAAAGAGCACCAACATAAAGAAGAATTTACACCAACACATGGATAAAACAGCCAGTCAACATCAAATGGCAGTAACCCTAAATTTAAATTGACTAAATTCCCAATCAAAAGACACAGCCAAAACCCAATGGCATGTTACATCCAGACCTGTTTTACATGCAAGGATACACAAAGACTCAAAACAAAGGGATGGAGAAAGATTTACCAACCAAATGGAGAGCAAAAATAAATAATAAATAAATAAAAAGCAGGAGTTGCAATTCTTGTATCGGATAAAATAGATTTTAAAGCAACAAAGATATAGTGGTAAAAGGATCAATGCGACAACAAGAGCTAACGATCCTAACACCCAGATAGGAGACTTAGATTCAATGAGACAGAAAATTAATAAGGATATCAAGGACTCGAACTCAGATCCAGAACAAGTAAACTTAATAAATATTCATAGAGCTCTCCACTTCAAATACACAAAATATACATTCTTGTCAATACCACATCACACCTACCCATTAGTTTAAATGAAACATTGATTGGCCATTGTTAATACCCAATTTTTTTCAAAATAAAGCAATATTTCCATTGACTCTCCCTCTTTCTCTTCCTCTTTCTTCCTCTCCTTTACTTATTTTTTTTTTTTTCTTTCCTTCTCTCAAAAAAAAAGAAATCAACTTGTAAACCTCTAGATCCAGGTCGGCAATGTCTCTTTCATTGCTTGATTTCCTTTCTTCCCTTCCCTCCCTCCTTCCCTCCCTCCCCGCTTCCTCCCTTCCTTCCTTCCTTCATCCCTTCCTTCCTCCCTACCGTCCTTCTTCCCTTCCTTCCTGCCTTCCTCCCCCCCCCAAAAAAAAAAAAAAAAAAAAAAAAGATAAATGAGGATATCTGGAAGATGTTTTTCCTTTTAGCCTTCAGCCTGGTAAAATACTTGTGTTACTTATCTGTATGGAGGCCTCCATCTATCTCGTATACAGCTCTCAGCCATTTTATCTTCACAGGGTCTTGGGTGAACAACAAAACTCCCTAATGGAGTTTTCTGGTGTATGTATTATGTGTTTGTAGAGGATATTTACAGGACAGTTATTCTGATTTAAATCACATATTTAAATGAACTAGATATAGTCAATAGAACTAGATGTTTTGAATGTTTATTGTGTGAATGATTTACACTTAACAAGCCTTGAATTTGTAAAAGTAAAAGCCATATTTAACTGGTGTAAACTGTTCCATGAACTTAGGATTTAAACGTGGTCACAATTAGTATTTTTTTTTGAGATGGAGTTTTGCTCATGTTACCCAGGCTGGAGTGAAATGGCACGATCTCGCCTCACCGCAACCTCTGCCTCCTGGGTTCAGGCAATTCTCCTGCCTCAGCCTCCTGAGCAGCTGGGATTACAGGCACGCGCCACCGTGCCCAGCTAATTTTTTGTATTTTTAGTAGAGACGGGGTTTCACCTTGTTGACCAGGATGGTCTCGATCTCTTGACCTCATGATCCACCCGCCTCAGCCTCCCAAAGTGCTGGGATTACAGGCTTGAGCCACCGCGCCCGGCCACAATTAGTATTTTTAAAACTTAATCACTGAAATATCCACTTGCCTTGTTAGCAGAAAGTACACCACCTTCCTATTGGAATTTCTGCTTTTCTCTGAATTCTTCCAAACACTTTAGTGGGTTCGTGAGTGGCTTCCATATCCAAGATGGGTGTGGGGTGTGTATCCATGCATCTGTATATGCGCATGTGAGGGAGACACACCAGAGTCTGTTCAGCCACCACTGCCCCTGTACTTCCCTGCCCCATGCTAGAGTGTTGAAAACCAGTCTTAAACTGTCCAACGGGAGCTCCCGGCTCACTGTTTTCCCAGATGTTTGTGCAGTCCACCACGGTGCATAGGGAAGGATCTTCCTGTGCTAAGCTCAGTTAGGATGTTCATGGTGCCTATGGATGAGCACCCAAGATTACAGCTATTAGCACCCAGCTCCTTCAGGTCACATCATGGACACCTCTGAACTATTGTTCTAAGGTCACCGCGAACAGTGAGTCAGGACTGGTCCTACGTCTACCACCTCATAGCCTTAGAACCACATTTCCCCTTACCATCATAAGCTCCTATGCCATTATTTTATTTTATTTTTTAAACTTCCTGGCCAGGCATGGTGGCTCACGCCTGTAATCCCCCCACTTTGGGTAGCCGAGGGAGGTGGATCACTTGAGATGCAGGAGTTTGAGACCAACCTGACCAACATGGTGAAACCCCATCTCTACTAAAAATAGAAAAATTAGCCAGGCATGGTGGCATATGACTATAATCCCAGCTACCTGGGAGGCTGAGATAGGAGAATCACTTGAACCTAGGAGATGGTAGTTGCAGTGAGGTGAGATTGCGCCACTGCACTCCAGCTTGGACAACAGAGCGAGACTCCATCTCAAAAAAAAAAAAATTCCCTAGACCTCTGGGAACTTAGATGGGGCCTCTAGAGATTCACCCTTCTCCCAGCAATTCATACTTACCGTTCATAGATGGAGCCTCTAGAGATTCACCCTGTCTCCCAGGAATTCATACCTACCCTTCGTAGAGGTGGCGATTCCAAAATAATTTTCTGCCTTCTCTTTCTTAGGCAAAGGGGGAAAAATTGAACTAATTTCTGCCAGGGCATCCTGCTACATATTTAACTAATATCAAATGGAAGAGCAAGGCTTAAGTGATTTATATTGCAAGAGCCTTCATCGTTAAAATGAAATAGGCATGACCAAGAGAACAAATGACAAATTTAATAAATAAGTGTTGTTGGATGTGATGGAAAGTCAGAATCAATTATTTATGATGTGAAGGATTGGGAGAAGTTTCAGATGATGAACTATGTTGGTAACTCGAAGGTTACTGGAATGTGTTCTCTTACTGTTCAGGGTTTTGATCTATAGAAACACTGTTTCTGCCAGCACCTCACACCGCTGCACCCCCAAAAAGATACAGCAGAACTCCAGAATATGGAACCCAAAGTCCCATTTAAAAACTGTCATTTATCACAGTGTTGCAAAAGAGTAATTAGAACTCAACTCTTATTAATTTGCTTTCAGAGTATGAAGCTAAGGAATTGCCATGGAAATCATCAAATGGAAACCACAATTTAGTGTGTCTTAGTGAAAACTTTTGCCATTGAGTCACTCTGCATTCAAAGTTGTGCCCCATTCACATGGGGACTCTGTCCTCGCCAAGCAAGGAGTGGGTCACCTTTTTATGCAGCAGTTTCTTGGTGCTTGAGTTGCCTATTAACAAGAGGAGTCTTATCTGGTGTAGATATTATATCTCATTTTCTTTGACATTAAGAATGCCTAATGGTTCCCTCCATAAAAGCAAACTTCTTGCTGCTTCTTCCAATGATTTGATTTTATTATTTTGTGTTTTATATTTGTTTTTAAATAGTAGAGGTAAAAGCTATTCAGAAGAGGGATGGGGGAGGACTGATTGTGTTGGAGCAAGTTACGTTTGGGCCATTCTGCTGCAAGTGAGATGCGCATGCTCAGTCTTCGTGTGGATTACAGGCCTTTCGGGAAGACTTGGAATGTCTTATTCAAGAACAGAGGATGAAAGGCCACAACCAACTGGATTGCTAGCATTACAACAGATTGCAGATGACATCGTGACCAGTTCTTTCTCGGGTTTTTCTTCACCTGCCCTCAGTATGTCAGTTTTGGAGAATTTTGTACATTATCATTTTACCTCCACTTGGGAACACCGTAATCTCTAGCAGCATAGTCTACTCAGGTTCAGCCCTTAAGTTGATAACATCTAATACTTAGAGTAACGTAGTGTTAGAACCTCCTACTTTCATATCAACCAGGCATTTACTACACTTTATACAGATGGTAAGATGATATAAAACATGGTCCTGGGCTGGGACCTGTGGCACGTGTCCGTAGTCCCAGCCACATGCGAGGCTGAGGTGGGAGGATCACTTGAGCCCAGGAGTTCAAAACTAGCCTAGCAACAAAGTGAAAACTCTGTCTCTATCTTTTAAAATAATAAATCTGATTTTAATGTGGCTGAATATAAATGATTTCACAATCAGATTTGAAAGTTAGGGGTTTATTCCTAACTTTGATGGGAAGCCATTTTAAGCAGAAAGATGATTTTGAAAGACCACTATATTTTCTGTGTGAAGAATGAACTGGGAGATTTCATAGTATTATTAACAAAACTAGAAGAGTCCAGATTTGGGGATCCGGTTTGGCTTGGGAAGTGGAGGGAGTTCAGCTTTGGGCATGCTCCGTTTGCATTGCCAAGACACTGCAGCAGCTGGAAATGCAGTCAGAGAGCTTAGGAGAAAGACTTGGCAGACAGACATAGAGAAGTAGTTCTCAGAGCCATGGACATTGATTAAACAGACAAGAGGGTATGGGCCGACAAAATATTCCAAAGAGAGAACCTCAAAAGCTCAAAGAGGAAGACCAGTCAGGGAAAACAGAAATAGTAAAAGCAGCTGTCCTGCAAGTGTCCTGGATTCCACCGCACGATCGAGAAGCTACAGGAGACCTTGGCCTGCTGGCTGGAACACACAAAGACATGGCAGGAGGAAAGCCACGTGCCGCTGTTCGGAGTCAGGAAATAGCAACCAGTTTGCCTCAAATGCTTACGCTGTGTTGTGAAAAGCGGAAGTGAAAGCTGGGAAGGTTAGGGGAGAGTAGGAGACGGGTTAATGGCTGACTCTAAAATTCTGTCAGAAATGACGCTATTTTGTACGGCTTATGCATTAAAACTGTTCAGATTACCTCAAAACACCTTAAAATTAAAAGGTCTTACACGGAAATGTTGATTCTCTTTAAAAGCGCTTGCTCATATTCTCAGGTTGAAAGCAGTGCTTTAGAAAACTCAGTGGCTTTACGCATAATGAATTTACAAAGAAAGGGGCTGCAGTCAAGGGCAGGAATGGGGCTGATTGCAGCGATCCTCACACGAGTTACAGCCTGAACTCAAGAGTGCAGAGTGAGGGACCTTATGAAGAAAACAGTCATGGCATGTGGTGACAAATTATACGTGGTAAGGCCGGGCGCAGTGGCTCACGCCTATAATCCCAGCACTTTGCGGGGCTGAGGCGGGTGGATCATGAGGTCAAGAGATAGAGACCATCCTGGTCAACAAGGTGAAACCTCGTCTCTACTAAAAATACAAAAATTAGCTGGGCATGGTGGCACGCACCTGTAATCCCAGCTACTTGGGAGGCTGGGGCAGGAGAATTGCTTGAACCCAGGAGGCAGAGGTTGCGGTGAGCCGAGATTGTGCCATTGCACTCCAGTCTGGGTAACAGCAGCGAAACTCCGTCTCAAAAAAAAAAAAAAAAAAAAAATTATACGTGGTAACCCAGGAGAGATTCAGAGGTAGAGGTTGCTTTGTGTATGAGTCTGCAGGAATGGTAATATCAGTATTAGAAGCAAAGGAAGGAGAAGAGAGAAGGTAAGAAAAACTAGGAAAGAGAAGAAACGCCCTGTGATATTATTTGTAATATCTAAGGGCAGATATTATTTCTAATATGACTGTGGGTTTACACTGCGCTTGTGAACATTCACTTGATATTATTCACAATATCTAAGGGGAGATATTTCTCCAAATACCACAGTGAGTGTACACTCTGGGCATATATTTTTGATACTATTTGTAGTATTTAGTGGGAGATATTTCTTCTAGTATCACAGTGAGTGTACACTCTGGGCATATATTTTTGATACTATTTGTAGTATTTAGTGGGAGATATTTCTTCTAGTATCACAGTGGGTGTACACTCTGCGATGTGTTGTATAATATCCTCACTATGTTACTGCTAATACCACAGTGGGCGTACACCCCATGATGTTGTGCGTAATATCTTCGCTATATTACTGCCAATTCACAGTGGTTTTACACCCTGTCTGTGCTAATGTCATAGTGTGTTAACACTGGGTATTTTATTAAAATCATAGTGTTAACACTAGTTTTATAAACACCATGAAAATGTTATTGTCATTGTGTCAACACGGTAACATTTATGTTATAAATGTCATAGACATTTTATTAATATCATAGTGTTTTAACACTAGATACTGTAAGTATCATAGATGTTTCATTAATATCATAGTGTGCTAACACTGTATGTTATCACTAAACATAAATATAATAAAATATATTTTATTATATAAATATAAAATATCATAGATATTTTATTACATTATATAAATATAAAATATCATAGATATTTTATTAACATCATAGTGTAGTAACACTGTGTTAACACTTGATATTATTTTAAATATTTTATTAATACACTGTGTTACCTTATCTACATGTATACTACATATGTATGAATTATCTCTGGAAAAATCTGGTAACATTAATTATATCTGGGGAGGCTACAAGAAGCCAAGCCTGAGAAGAAACCTTAAATTTCACTTTATACTTCTTGTTGTTACACAAAAAACCTTTTTTTCACCTCACCTCCCCCCACAATTCCCTCCAAAAAAATACTTTACCATAACCATTTAGTGCTTAAAAAATTACCCCAATCTTTTTTGTCTGTTTCTTACCTGCTTTCTGTATGCAGGCCCCTCCTCTATGTGACGGCCCATCTTAGAAGATCCTGAGAGGTAAGCGTTGTGGACATTGAGAGAACCAGAGCCCACTTACTTTTCTGATTCCCACTCTGGAAGGTGTGGGTGTGAATGTGGAACCTTCCTTAAAGGTTTGCGGTGGAAATGAAATAAATTAGTATATGTAAAGCACAAGAACATGGAAGGTGCTTACTAAATGTTATTGATCTTCACTTTCTCTGCCTTGGCCCTCTCATAGCCACTTCTGATTTTAGGCGATTGGGGAAAATTGCCATTGAACATCGTACTCTACTAACAAAGACCATTTGAGAGTTAAGATTCATCTCTTTCCCATTTCAGCAGCAGAAAGAAGCCCACAAATCAAGCCCTCCCCTTGTTCTATACCTTGTCATTTTGTTGCTAGTATCACCAGCCAAAGAAAGAGGAAAGTTTCTTGGTGTAATTAAAATATTATTATAGGCTGGGTGGGGGGAGGGGGGTTCATGCCTGTAATCCCAGCACTTTTGGAGGCCAAGACCGGAGGATCACTTGAGGCCAGGAGTTCGAGACCAGGCTGGGCAACATAGTGAGACACCCTATCTCTACAAAAATAAAATAAAAATAGCCAGGCATGATGGCATGCATCTGTAGTCCCAGCTACTTGGGAGGCTGAGGCAGGAGGATCACTTGAGCCAAGGCTTTCAGGCTGTAGTAAGCTATGATCATGCCACTGCACTCCAGCCTGGGCGACAGAGCAATACTGCCTCTCTGAAAACAAAAAATTGTTATAGAATATAGAGTTGTAAAACTTTTCTGGAACAAGAAAGCTCTCATTTTAGATACCCATTCATTTACTCATTCCATAGTGTACTGAATGCCAGGAATTTAATGGTGAGCAAAATAGACATGGTCTCTGCCTCCTGAAGCTCAAGATCCCTCCCTCTATTTTTAAAAATCGGGTTTCTTGAAGTATAACTGATGTACAATCAAATTTGCTCTTTTCAGTGGAAACTTCTATGGGTTTTGGCAAATGTGTAATCAGTATAATTTAAATCTGGAACGTACTGTCTCGCCCCTCCCAATTTTCTTGGGCTTCTTTGGAGTCAACAACTTTCCCCCAACCTCTAACCCCTGGCAACCACTGATCTGTCCTCTGTCCATATGGATTTGCTTTTTCCAGAATGTCATACAAATGGACTATTACACAATTTCCTAGCTGCTTCCACACAGCTTAGCTGCTTCCACATAGCTTAACATTTGAGATTCATTCATGCTGTTTTGAGTTGTATTGCTGAGTGGTATTCCGTGGTACCAATGGATTTTCTTTTTTCTTGGTGACAGAGTCTTGCTCTGTCACCCAGGCTGGAGTGCAGTGGTGCGATCACAGTTCACTGGAGCCTCCACTTCCTGGACTCAAGTGATCTTCCTGCCTTAGCCTCCAGAGTAGTTGGGACCACCCACGGTCATAAGCCACTGTGCCCAGCTCATTTTACATTATTTTGTACACATTGGGTCTCAATATGTTGCCCAGGCTAGTCTCAAACTCCTGTACTTGAGCAATCTGAAGTGCTGAGATTACAGGTCTGAGCTACCAAGTCTCACCTCAGGTAGACCCTTTTGATGGCATGTTGGCGAGAAAAAGAAAGAAAGAAAGAAAGAAAAGAAGAAGAAAGAAAGAAAGAAAGAAAGAAAGAAAGAAAGAAAGAAAGAGGAAGGAAGGAAGGAAGGAAGGAAGGAAGGAAGGAAGGAAGGAAAGAAAGAAAACAACTCACTTTGACCAAATTGGCCTGTGATGATTGAATTCACTGGCTGAACTACATTAATTTTCCTTTCATGGGGCCGAGTCAGGTCTAGGAATACAATTCAGTTGTAATAGGAAGATAAAATGTCACTTCTTGCATCTGAATCTGTGGATTGTGAAACTCACATTCACTTTGGTGATTACTGTTTCTGTCTTTTTTTTTTTTGAGACAGAGTTTCGTTCTTGTTACCCAGGCTGGAGTGCAATGGTGCGATCTTGGTTTACCGCAACCTCTGCCTCCTGGGTTCAGGCAATTCTCCTGCCTCAGCCTCCTGAGTAACTGGGATTACAGGCACACGCCACCAGGCCCACTAATTGTTTGTATTTTTGGTAGAGACGGGGTTTCACCATGTTGACCAGGATGGTCTCGATCTCTTGACCTTGTGATCCACCCGCCTCGGCCTCCCAAAGGCGTGAGCCACCGCGCCCGGTCTGTTTCTGTCTTGCTGTGTTGGACAAGATGGCCCCAGCTGGCCTGTAAGTGAGCAAAGTCTCCACTAAAGGTCCCTCTCTCCAGCCTTTATGACACTGGTGCTGAGTCATAGAGGTTCTGCCAGTCCCTAAGAGAAGCACTTTCTTCTTTCCTGGTGATGCCTTAGGCCCCTTGAACAGTTTTGCCCAAGTGGGGCTCAAGGTAAGAATGGAGTTTCTTGGGACCACTCAAACCGCCAGTTACTGTGGCCCTAAGAAACGCTGTGGCTTGACCTCGCTGCCGGCTGTACAGGCTCCAGTGATCCAGGAGTGCTACCAGCCCTACTACCTGCCTGGGTACCGCTACCTCAATTCCTGGAGGCCTAGCCTCTTCTACAAGATCTCCAATGTCCAGACCTGCCCAGACGAGACCTCCAGCACCCTGCGGCCGCCCACCATCCTGCCCGCACTCCGCTCCTCACTCTTCTCTCGCTATAGCCCCCACGACTGGGACCAGTCCAACCAGCTGCAGGTGCGTGGGGCTGAGGCCTCCCGGCTCTGGGCCAGCCGGCTGACTGACGACTCCATGAGGCTCTTGCAGGACAAGGACCAGCTGACACACCAGATGCAGGAGGGCACCTCCCGGAACCTGGGCCAGAGGCTGTCAGACATTGGCTTCTGGAAGTCAGAGCTGAGCTACGAGCTGGACAGGCTTCTAACTGAGAACCAGAACTTGGAGATGGTCAAGAGGCGGCTGGAGTGCGCGGCAGATGAGGTGAACTCCCCGTTGCAGGTGAGTTACAGGGGCAGGGATGGGACTGTAGCCATGTGATGGGGATACTGTGTGCTCATTCCACATCCCTTAACGGAAGATCAAGGTGGCAGGCCCCTTGCAGATCACGTTGAGCTGCATCATCGTATATATGATCAGTAATACAATTTCAGTTGGTCCAGGATCATCCCAGTCAAATCAGGGTTTCTTGGACTGAATAGAATTTCCTTGTCTCCCTGAGGCTACATCAAAGTTGCAGGGGTTTCATGGAGATATTGTGTGCACACTTATGCATGCCTCAGCATGCGTGTACATGCATGTGCATGCAAGAGCATGTGTGTGTTCTGGTCCTGAGAGCACATACTTCAAATAACTACTTCATTTATGTTTTCCACAGAGTCTCGCTTTGTCATCCAGGCTGGAGTACAGCGGTGTGATCCTGGCTCACTGTGACCTCCGCCTCCTGGGTTTAAGCGACTCTCATGCCTCAGCCTCCCAAGGAGCTGGGATTACCCACCTCCCAAGGTGGGTGCCTACCCACCATCATGCCCAGCTAATTCTTGTATTTTTAGTAAAGGCAGGGTTTCACTATGTTGGTCAGGCTGGTCTCAAACTCCTGGCCTCAAGTGATCCACCCACCTCAGCCTCCCAGAGTGCTGGGATTACAGGCGTGAGCTGCTGCACCCAGCCCATAACTGCTTCATTTTTCCCCATAATACTTAATATCCTCTAACATGCTCTACACTTGATTGAATACTAGAAATAGGATAGTCTCCATCAAGGTGGAGATTTTTGCTTGCTTTGTCACTGATGTATTCAAGATTGCTATTCAGTGCAGGGCACCTGTGTGTCTGTGTGGGTCCACGGTGACCAATGTCGGTGCTGACTGATGTTGTTGATACTAACATTTTCAGTGTATTCCCAGCCCAGGACAGGGTGAAGGGCAGAATAGGCATTCAATAAATACATGTTGCATAAATGAGTGAATATCTAAATGTGGACTGGGCATGGTGGCTCATGCCTGTACACCCGGCACTTTGGGAGGTGGAACACTTGAGTTCAGGAGTTGGAGACCAGCCTGGCCAACATGATGAAACCCCGTTTCTACTAAAAATACAAAAGTTAGCTGGGCATGGTGGCACATGCCTGTAATCCCAGCTGCTTGGGAGGCTGAAGCAGGAAAATCACTTGAACCCAGGAGGCGGAGGTGGCAGTGAGCTGAGATCACACCACTGTACTCCAACCTGTGCCACAGAGCAAGACTCCATCTCAAAAACAAACAAAAAAATGAAATGTGGACATTCCTGACACTTCCTTGGTCTCCCAGCCTCCAGTCAGCTCCCTGCTCAGTTAGGATTGCTTTTGGCTGCATGTAGCAGATATGCCACAATGGTGGCTTAGCCAAACAGGAATTTATTTTTCTGTCATAAGGAAAATTCCAGAGGGAGACAGATCAGGCAGCTGCAGCCTCCACTTGGTGCCAGAAGGGACCCAGGCTCCTCTTTCTGCTCTGCCACCCACAGCATATCGCCCTACAGTTTCCTAGGAGGTTTCATATTTTATATTGCAAGTCCCTACATGCCAGGGGCCTCTTGACATTCTCATTCAAGGCAGGAAGGCAAGGGTAGAACAAAGAGCAGATGCATCAAGGGGCACTGTCACTTTTTATCAGGGGACATCTTTTCCAGAAGGTCCGCCGTGTGTTTCCATTTTTGGCCTGTTTGCCAGCACTTGCATGGGCTCTCTGGCTGCAAAGGGGTCTGGATAAATGAATGTTTCTCACTGCATCCAGGAGAGAATCATGGGAGGGGTTGAGTGGACACTGGGTAAGGAATCAGCAGCACCTACGGGAGCTGACCTTGGCCACACAGGATGATGACTGGCTGCTCACTGGAGTGTGTGGGGAACTGAGGACCTCTTGCCTGGAAGACTCCTGCAGCTACCGGTGCTTCTGTAGGACAGACCTGCCTCCGGATCCCTTTGGGAGACACAGCATAGGTTTCCACCACTCTGGGATTTCCAAACCCATGGATGCAGGGAGCAGGAAGAGAGGTCCTCTGTCTCCCTATCCCCACCCCCGGATTCTCCCTGGGAAGGAGGATGGGCAAGGCTGCTTCTCAGAACCCCACTGCAGCATCCCCAACCTACTGCTCTCCCTCCGACTCTCTTCTGATGCCCCCATCCTGTCTGGAAAGTCCGGCTCTGCCTGGTCACATGTGGCTTTCTCTGATCAGCCACGTGGCGGCAGGGGGACCATCAACATCTCAGTTCTATTTCACAGGCTGCCCCCACAGTCCAGACAGCCTCTCCCTGCGCAATGCCCTCCGCCTCCTTCCTGGTCTCCCAATTCCTGCTCTCTTCTAATCCATTGTCCTCACAGCAGCTGCTATTTCCCTTGACGGCCTCCCAGAAATTAACATCTTCATTCTCAAATTCCTTCCCCTCCCCATAACCCCCGTCCCTGCTATTGCTCTAGGCTCGCTTCCTCTACTCCAGTGCCAATGGCTTCCTGTCTGTTCCTCTGCTGACCTCAGGGCCTTTGCACCTGCTATTTTCCCTTCTGGTGCATTCCTACCCAGCTCTGCATCTCTGCTTCTCATGACTCAGTCCTTCTCCTCCTTAGAGAATTCCTCCCTAACCACTCCACTGGTTACTCCTCACCCACTCACATGACCCTGAATATTTTCATCCTGGCCCTTCACATAGTTGGAAATGATTGAGTTTCTGGTTTTTCATTGTTATTGTTTGAGACAGGGTCTTGCTCTGTTGCCCAGGTTAGAGTGCAGTGGCATGATCTTGGCTCACTGCTTGACCTCCTGGAGTCAAGGGATCCTCCCACCTCAGCCTCCCAAGAAGTTGGGACTACAGGCACGCACCACCACCCCTGGCTAAGTTTAAATTTTTGTAGAGATGGGGTCTCACTATGCTTCCCAGACTGGTCTCCAACTCCCGGGCTCAAGTGATTCTCCCAGCTTGGCTTCCCAAAGTGTGGAGATCACAGGCATGAGGGAGGCACTGTGCCCAGTCTGACTGAGTTTCTCATGGGTGTTCTCTCCTCTAGCAAAACATAGGTTGCATGAAAGCCTGTGTTCTCCTAGGGGACTGTCAGCCTGGTTCATTGCACTATCCCCAGCACCTTAACAGAGGATGACTCCGAGAAGGGGCTCTGGAAATCCTTGTGGCATGGGTCAGTGAGTTTCTGAGTTCTCAAGGTCAGTGAGTTTCTGAGTTCTCAGATACATTTGCATCCTGACATTCAGACCTTAACATCCTGCTTCCTTCTGCTCTGGGCCCTTTGTGACATCGTGGGCTGGTTTGCCAATCACTGTTGTTTCTCAGCTTCCTATCATAGAGAGCCCCTGAAAAGCCCCTTCTCCTGTCCTCTCTGCTGCTCTGCCCAGGTCTGCATGAGAGTTGTAAGGCCCAGGACTGTGTGGCAGGGTTGTCCTGACCACCTCCCCAAACTGTCCCTCCATTGGGAGAGGAGTTTTCAGCTGGGCATGGGGGCTCACACCTGTAATCCCAGCACTTTGGTAGGCCTTGGCCTACCTGCAGGTGGATCATCTGAGGTCGGGAGTTCAAGACCAGCCTGACCAACATGAAGAAACTCCATCTCCACTAAATGTACCGAATTAGCCAGGAGTGGTGGCGTATGCCTGTAATCCCAGCTACTCTGGAGACTGGGGCAGGAGAATTGCCTGAAGCCAGAAGGTGGAGTTTGCGGTGAGCTGAGATCAAGACTCTACTCCAGCCTGGGCAATTAAAGCAAAACTCCATCTCAAAAAAACCCAAAATGAACAACCACAACAAACAGGAGTTTTCACAAGTATTCACAGGTAATTGTAGACAGTGTGCTCAGTGATTGACACCTGTCAAGCCACCTTCACCTGCACAATGAACCTATGAGACAGGCACCAATATGGCACCCATCTGCAGAGGAGGACGCAGCCAGAGAGGTTAAGCAATTTGCCTAAATGCACGCAATAAGAAGTGGCTAAGCCCTGACTGAAATCAGAAGAAAAACTACATGGAGGCTGGCAGCCAACACCATCTTCTCTGAAACTATTATGAAATTTTACTGTATGTATTATTGTCTTTTGGGAAGGCTTGGGGCTGCTGATCCAGTTATGGGAATCAAAATTGGTCCTTGGGAC